CCCCTCTGCATCACCCAAGGTGCCAAAGGAGGCAGAAAAGAGTGGGAGCACGTGGAGCAGCAATGGGGACGGCTCTCTGCGCAGGAGAGGGGGATGCTCCTCTTCACAGCATCGCTCCAGCTCAGCTTCGAGCTTTCCATAGGGTTGAATTAGGTTGAAGGTTGTTGAAATCACTCTTTATTGAGCTTCCCATACATCCCAAAGTCCTGAGACATGGGAGTTAGCCCAGCAGATTGATCACCAGCTTTTCCCAAATGAACTTTTGGTGGCCAGAAGCTGGTGACATCCACCAAAACAGGGGGCTTGAGGTGGCAACAGGCCCCTCGCCACTGTCTGCTGGGCCGGGGGGATGGTACAGAGGAAGGGGCTGCTTTAGGGAAGATTCGTGGGGCCTGAGGAACACAAACCAGCTTCACTATGGATGCAGAAGGCCGGGGTGCTGCAGCCAGCCCCACGCTGTGGGTGATGGCTGGCAAAGGAGAAACAGGTTTTAGCAGAAGGGGGGGCAGCGTGCAGCCTGGGCTTTGGCCACTGTCCAGCTGCTGCCCTTGACCAGCTGCTCAGCAAGGGAAAAACATGAAAAACATGCACTTTCACCCCAAATATTTTGCAAGCAACAGGAGCAGCACCAGCCCCCAGAGCCATGCGGGGAGGGGAAGCTGTGCCAGTAGCAGATGAAACCACAGCCCCTGTGCCCCACCACTGTGAGTGAGCAGGGTGGCAGCTCAGGAGGAGGGGGATGCTCTTGGGGACAAGGTTTGGACCCTGCACCGCATTTCATCTGCCAAATTACCACCATGAAGAACAAGGACTCCAAGTTTTGGAGTAACTCAGTGTTGCCACACTCCAGAGTTGGCTGCTCTGAACCAACACGTTCCTGGTACAGGTTCTGGCTTTGGTGCCAGATCGTCACCCACTTCACGCTGGTCTTCACCCACCCGTGCCCTCCGCAGTGGTTCACAGCCCAGGGTTGCAAGGACTGCGCTTGGTGAGGCACAGCCTCAGCACGCTGGGCGCTGGTTCACATGCAACTTCCAACTGGAGCTGCTCATTGTAGGAAGCCCAAACAAACTGGTCCTGGATGCAAGGCTCTGTCTGCACATAGGTTATCCAAACAGCATACGTTATCTCCAAACAGCAAGCATGCACATCACAGGATATTGGGTTTTTTACAAAACTGTAACTAAAGGAACCGTGGAGCCAGCGCTCCCTACACTCCATCTCACCCCCAAAACCTCCCGGCTGTCCACATGCAGCCATCGTGCTTCAAATCCAACTCTGAGCGTGTGTGGGAGAACTCACACTACCCCAAACACCTCCTTCAGAGCGACAGGCCCTGCTCCCACCACGCAGCCCTTACTGCAGCTGCCCTTGTAGCCAGAGAAAATTAAAACCGATTTAATACTCTGTATGATGCACAAGGCCCACATCTGGTCGTGTCTGAACGGGGACTGGGATTTTAACCTTATGCTCAGATGCCAGTATCGGGTCTTCAGCTCAGGTCTCTGATGCAACACTGTGAATATCAGGCAGCTCTTGATAAATTCAGGCAGCACAAAATGCCTTTTGATCTAGCGGAATGGCTTGTGACAGACAGGTCTACAAGGAAACTGAAGTTACAAGTTATTTAAAACAACAAAGTAAGCACTTTATTTCCATTAAGCATGTTGTTTTAGTATCACAATGGAATGATGAGAAAAACGTTTAAAAAAACCCAAAAAGTCTCTAATCCCCACGAACAGCAGGGAGGTTTTCAAGGCAATTTAAAATCAAAGGGAGTGACAGAAGTGCCAGAACAGTCCCAACATCACGAGTCTCCTCCTCCAAGAGCTGGGCAGGGGCAGGAAGGTGGAATGACACGAAGGTACGAATGTCTGAAGTAGTCTTTGGCGCTTCTGCCTCATGTTTGATACGTACATGATCTCTCAAGACAACTCCACAGAAAATCTCTGGACGCAACAAAGTGCTACGTTAGTAGGACAAAACCCCAGCGAGAGGACTTTCCGTACAGCCGAGATGCCCTGCCGTCGGGCGTTAAGACACATCCTGCAGACAGTGCCGACTCCAGCTGGAGGCCTTTGGGTTGGGAGAAGAGGGGAAAAAAAAAAAGGAAGCGTGGTGCGTGAATCCAAGAAGATGTGCCCATGTGCAAGACACCGCGTCCTGCAGTACTGACAAAACCAGGGAGGAGAGAAAGTGGTGGCAAAACGAAACATGGATCCGTTCCCTACAGTGATCAAAACACGAGTCCAGTGCAGTAACTATAGTTTCACAGTTCCAGGGGGCAAACTGTCATTGCAGAGTCTGTAGTAACGCAGGTCATTCACCAGTCTGTGCACATTCTGGGTAAACGATGGCAGATCCTGGAAAAGATCAAACAACACATTGTACCGCAAACAGACCACCACCACAAGCACCGTCTTACAGCCGGGAACAGAAAGGTTCGAATCCCCTCCATCTCCCACGGGAGAGGAAGCTCTTGATGGACAAGCAGGCTTCAGCAGATAGAAACCACGACCTGCTGCACTGCCATGATGTTCCACAGGGAGGTTACAGACCCCTCATTTGCTCCACACTCATACGAGGAGATCGAAAGAACTGAGAGCCATGGCAGCTACTCTGCTGCTGTCTTCAATGTAACCCTCAAACATCTGGCCAGCAGCTGGAGCGAGATTTTGGCAAGGATCTCTGTGTCCCCCTCTAGAAAGCGTCGGTCTACCCCTATGAAAGCTTCCTCCAGGAAGCATATTCCTTAATTCCCACAGCATTCAGCCATCCGAGAGATGAGATGGCAGTTCTACCTACAGCGAAAATCCTTGGTTAGGCACTGCTGAGTACAGGGTACTGCCTCAAAACACTGCCCTGAGCAGCTCAGGGCTGTCTGCCAGCACCTCCTTGGAGGAAAAAACCCCACTGTGTATCCTGAGAACACTTGCACTTTGCTGCAGCGTTTCCCCTCCTTACCCTGTCCATTTTGAAATTCCTTCCCAGCACGTTTTTCTGGTTCGAGTCTACACCATCACAACTGGCCAGGAACTCGGGGAGAAAGGCTGAGTAGAAGCCATCGAAGTCCACCGAGGCCATATTGTAGGTGGCAATGCCGATCTCCTCCTGCAACAGGTCATGCGACTTGTGGACAAGCACCTGAAGTAGGACATTCACAAACTGGAACAGCATGGTTGTCCGGAAGATCTTCTGCAGAGTGAGAGAACACCACAGTTGTTTTAAACATTGGCATTTAAGCAAACGGCATCAAGCCTCATTCAAAGTCCAGCTGGTGTTAGCCCCACACAGCGCTCCCGAAAGCCAGGGAATCTGGCTCGGTGTTAGCCCTGCACAGCGCTCCCGAAAGCCAGGGAATCTGGCTAGCTGCCTGAAAGTCTGCAACAGGCAGCTGCTAACATGACGGGCTGTCCTTCAGCTGTGACCACGGATGCGAACCTGAAACCTCGGCTTTCCCAGACTAACCAGAAGGGCAAGACCCTGGATTCCAGCTCTAATCCTTTGTGACAGCAGCTAACGGGTCCAAATTAGAGGGTCTATGAGGGTGGGTCGGTCCTACGTGACAGCAATGGGGACAGCCACCTGGCAGTGACTGACTGAACACCAGATAGCCTGCTGCTGACCCAGATGAGAACGATGGAGGGACTGCCACTCTCCCACTGACAACGATCCCAGTTTCTACTTCCTCAGACAAATCACATCGTCACTGTGTGCTTTCTTTGCTGTCCCTCGTTGTCACAGGGGGAGCACATCGAAGCTTTGCTTTGACTGACTAGAGCTGGGATCCCTCCTCTATCTGCTGCGGCTCCCACAGTAGGGAGGTGGTAATGCCGCTCTGATCAGCAACGTATCCATCGGGATCACAGCAACCAACGAAGGCTGTGGTATAAAAGCCCCCAAGTCCTGACCTTCAGTTTCTGAGTGGTTTAAAACAAGTCTCAGAATGGCAACCACGTACCACAATGCACAGAGCGTGCACTGCTCAACTAGGACCCACCTTGTGATACAGCTTCTGCTTGGTGTTCAGTGTCTCCAAGTAGAAGAGATTCTGCTTGAACAGGTGAATATCAGGCTGCAGGAAGGACTGGCCAAATGCCTACAAAGCAGAAGTGAAGGAAGGAATGATTCTGATCACAGAACCCCAGACTGGTGGGGGCTGGCAGGGACCTCTGGAGATCATCTAGTCCAAGCCCCTGCCAGAGCAGGATCACCCAGAGCAGGTTGCACAGGATGGTGCCCAGGCGGGTTTGGAATCTCTCCAGAGAAGGAGACTCCACAACCTCTCTGGGCAGCCTGTCCCAGTGCTCGGTCACCCGCAGAGGGAAGAAGTTTTTCCTCATGTTCAGATGGAAGTTCCTCTGTTCCAGTTTGTGCCCGTTGCCCCTTGTCCTGTCACTGGGCACCACTGAGAAGAGTCTGGCCCCTTCCTCTAGACACCCACCCTTTAGATATTGATAAGTGTTGATCAGATCCCCTCTCAGTCTTCTCTTCCCCAGGCCAACCAGCCCCAGCTCTCTCAGCCTTTCCTCATACCAGAGATGCTCCAGTCCCCACATCATCCTCGCAGCCCTCCGCTGGACTCTCCCCAGTAGTTCCCTGTCTGTCTTGAACTGGGGAGCCCAGAACTGGGCACAGCACTCCAGATGTGCCCCTCACCAGGGCAGAGCAGAGGGGGAGGAGAACCTCCCTTGACCTGCTGGCCACATTCTTCTCAATATCCCCCAAGTACCACTGGCCTTCTTGGCCATGAGGGCACACTGCTGGTCATGGAGAGCTTGTTGTCCACCAGGATTCCCAGGTCCTTCTCCACAGTGCTGCTTCCCAGCAGATCAACCCCCAACCTGTACTGGTGTCTGGGGTTGTTCTTCCCCAGGTGCAGGACCCTACACTTGCCCTTGTTGAATTTCATTTGATTCCTCTCCACCCAACTCTCTATTCTGTCCAGGTCTTGCTGAATGGCAGCGCAGTCTTCTGGTGTGTCAGCTGCTCCTCCCAGTTTGGTATCATAAGCAAACTTGCTGACGGTACACTCTGTCCCCTCGTCCAGTTCACTGATGAAGACAACCGGACCAGGCACTGACCCTTGGGGCACACCACTGGCTATAGGCCTCCAACTAGACTCTGCGCCACTTATCCCAACCCTCTGGGCTCTGCCGTTCAGCCAGCTCTCAATCCACCTCACTGTCCACTCATCCAACCCACGCTTCCTAAGCTTGCTAACGAGTATGTCAGGAGAGACGGTGTCAAAAGCCTTGCTGAAGTCAAGGTAGACAACATCCGCTGCTCTCCCATCATCCACCCAGTCATGCCATCACAGAAGGCTATCGGACTGGTCAGGCACAACTTCCCCTTGGTGAGTCCATGTTGACTGCTCACGATAACCTTTTCCTCCACATGCTTATTGATGATCCCCAGAACGAGCTGTTCATATTAAAAAGAGTATCAGACCTGCCACAAGTAGCATATGCTCCTTTGCAGAAAAGGTTCTGGACAACTGCGGGAGTTACCTGCATAATGGCACTGAATTGTGCTTCATTCTCCATCTGTTCTTCCGCTACTCCTCTTTGGACACTAGCCAACACATTAGATTTGAAGAAGTACCGCCAATTATGGTGGAGGACCCGGAAAAGCAGCTCGAACAGCTCTGCTTTCACATCAGGAGATGAGCGCTAGGAGGAGAGGAGGACAAACAACTCAAAAGCTGGCTCCTGTGCCGGAATCCCACCCATCCCCTGGATCCCACTCCAGCAGCACCCTGTCAGGTGGCCACCCAAGGCAGTGCTTGGAGCCAAGGTACCAGAGCATCAAAGTATTTCCTTCTAAGGAAGGCACCAAACTCAGCAGCTGTTGGATCATGCTAAGAACACATCATCAAGTTTTGAATTTTACCTCCTGCTTTGGAGCACATCTGTCATTTTAGCCTCTCTTGACAATTCCTGACAAAATCCTCCACCCACGCTGCTTCCAATTCCCACTGCCTAGTCACCTAGTTTTCCCTGCGCAGGGACTGACATTTACAGCTCTTGGAAAACAAAAAAGCTCCCCTGCTCCCACACCCCCAGCAATTCCTTCCCTTCCCGTCTCCCCCTTCCCTCACCTCGTGTGAGAACAGTCCTACCTCTGCAATGATGGGGTAGACCTGATCCATGCACAGTGAGATGACACTGGGTAGAAAAGGCTTGAATACTTGGCCTGGCTCTTGTACCACCACTTGCAGTATTTTCAGAAACTTCTCCACCACCCGACAGCCAGTGCTGCCCTCGTGGAGGATGCTCTCTGCCAACTGCTCTCTAGGAGAGAAAACAAAGTTATTGCATAGGAACACTCCCAGAGATCTACATGCTTAAAGGAAAGCAAGCAGTGCCTCTAAACTTGCTCAACTAATACAGACCAAGTGCATTAAGCCACAGACTGAGACTTGATAGACCCCTCTCCCCAACAAAAGCTTGAGTGGCAGTTGGGGCACCCTCAGATCATGGGTAGGAGCCAAGAGACAACACGAGAGTCCGCTTCAACGTCACACGCTTCCAGAAAGTGCGTTGGAGAGCTGAAATTGTGCAATGGCATGTATGATTGATGTGCATGGGCTGGGTCACTTTAGATTTGGAAGTGTTTTCCTTAAATTTAGTCCTCCGACACGATGAAAATCTGGACACAAAGGGGTTGGAAACACTACACGCTTTAGGGGCAGGGACCTGTTGTGTGAGGAGCTTACTAGGATAAATCATCCCAAGGGATAAGAAAGAAGTGACTGACATGGGACAATACCTGGTGAACATGTTTAGGAAGGTCTGTATGATCTGCTCTGTGAAAGGCACTCCCATCTGCACCCTCAGTCCTTGAAACAGAGTGAGGAAGAAGCTCAGCATCTCATCCGTCACATCTAAGGTAAGAACAGGACAGCAAGAAGAACATGTTAAGGTAACATTCGAGTGTACCAATAAGTCTTTTATGTGAGATTCGCTCCCCCTGTACAGGGAACCCCATTTACTCTTGGAAATTTAGCAGCAGGGTTGTCACTATAAACTGAAACCAGCAGCCAGTACTACAGGACTTAAAGACTGTTCATCCATTTCTGAAAATCGCCAGGGATGACAAGTACAGCCAGCAGCAAACAACTCAGAACAAACACGCTATTATCAGCAAGGCCCTTAGTCTGGTCTGAGAGTTGCTCACTGCTCATGCAGGGTTAACAGGAAATACAAGGAAATCCAAAACAGCTACCCAGAGAGGCTAGGAGACAGAACCCAGCTTCCTTTTTTTTTTTTTTGGCAGGAACTGAAGAGACCCTTCTGACTTCAGAAGTAATTTTCAGCACATGGTTGTGCAGTTAGCCCATCAGCACCGCAGCTAATTCTTCATCAGTCCCAACACATTTTATTGAATAACAACAGTAAGCTGAAGCTGCTCAAGCCCTCCTTCATACAGCCTTTTCCAGCCAAGAAACAGCAATTGCATGAGGCTGCTATAGCCTGTTCTGAAAACAATGGTTCACTGGAGTCACAGCATCAGCTTGCTGTCTTGGATCTTCTCTGCATTTCAACTTTGCTTTGTCTCCCCCACACCTGCTTCACTGAGAAAAATCCCACCTAGCTCCAAAAGTTTTCCTGGAACAACTTGCTCATCACAAGAGAAACTGCTGTAGTCCTGGGCATTCGAGCTACCCTGATGTGACACAGAAGGTAAGTCGCTGGCCACAAGATTGCCAAGCAACAGTCCTGGTTACATCTCAGGAGCCTTTCCTTTACAGGAGAAAACCACCTCACATCATTTGACCTAATCTGATGAGATCTACTCTTCTTTGTCTTCAAGATTCTGGAGTGAATGTAAACGGCAAACATAGCCAGACAGGGTATTTTAAAGCTCTTTTTTGTGTGCTCAGGATCAGCTCCATTCTCATTTCACTGCTGAACACAACACAAGGCATCTCCATCTCCTGGAAGCATGACAAACCTTCATGCCTGTACCCTAGACGGCAGAGATGATCTCCCTTTCCTGTTCTGATTCAGCCCAGCCCACCCAGAAGTACAGACTCACATCGCACTTCGCAAGCCCACGCACTTCACATGAACACCGTGATTCTATGCTGATGGACTTTAGATGTTATCAGTAGGTCATAAAGTTACTCACAGCATTAAAGCCTGTCCTATGGTTATACCTGACTGATGAATGAAAGCTGGGAAGAGGGCTAGTGAGACCTGCACGGATTCTTGCAGCGACTGATAACAGATCTGTCGAGACTTGGTGGATTCTCCAGAGATACTTTCTACAATATCTTCTAAAACGCCGAGCGTCTGATGGATGATCACTTTGGCTGCAAAATAAGAGAGGTGATTCTTCCTGCATGTGTCAAAACTACTCAGAAGCAAGATATCAAGAGAAGTCAAGTTCACACACAGAGTAACTAAAACAACCTACAAGGCGGCATTACATCAAACATTTGGAGTAAAAGAGTTCCCAAGTTTGTGTTTTAAACATTTAAACAGGTTCAATTAGGTTGCTGTTGCTACTTGCTTTCTTAAATTATACAGGTTTGCTGCCCTACAGATGCATGCACTGCTCACCTACTAAGGTGCAGAGACTGAGGGGAGCTGTGAACAACATTATCTGCAACACCCTAATGCTAAAGAACCACTAGCCAAGGAAAGAGCAGCACATTACGGCAGCAAAATATACTGCAGATTTCTATTTCTGAAAGTAACAGCTGGAGTGATGCACACTACCCTAATGCTAAAGAACCACTAGCCAAGAAAAGAGCAGCACATTATGGCAGCAAAATATACTGCAGATTTCTGTTTCTGAAAGTAACAGCTGGAGTGATGCACACCCACTGTCTAAGCTAACCCAAACGTTGGGAGAACTTCACTGGCTCAGTTCCACCCATGTGAGCAGTCTGCTGATATTCTTCTTGTAAGGAGCAAACCACCCTCTCCCATGCTCCCTCCCAGCACCCAGTTGATCAGCATGTCAGGTTTGCCAGAAGCTGTGACACTGCATACTTCTAAACAATTCTTAAAGTGATTCTCAAAAAAACCCCAAACAACTAAAAACCCAAAGCAATCCCAAAACACGTACAGAAACTTCCAAAGCTCCCTGGACCCCATCAGTTCAGGGCTCTCCTCCTACATGTGTACACCTTCTACAGTACTTCCCAAATCTGAAAGAAATTCTTGTTTTCCCCTTAAGTTTTTATAACAATAATCCTCATTAACACTGCCTCCAGTCAGTGATTCCAATATTGTAGCGTGGTAGTCCCAGCATTAGGCTGTTAAGTATTCCTGATGCAATCAGTGCTATTCAAATTTTATAGAATCCCAGACTGGTTTGGATTGGAAGGGACCTCACAGCCCATCCAGTGCCACCCCCTGCCATGGGCAGGGACACCCTCCACTAGCCCAGGTTGCCCAAAGCCCCATCCAACCTGGCCTTGAACACTGCCAGGGAGCCAGGGGCAGCCACAGCTTCTCTGGGCAACCTGTGCCAGGGCCTCACCACCCTCACAGGGAAGGATTTCTGCCTCACATCTCATCTCCATCTCCCCTCCTGCAGCTTCAGGCCATTCCCCTTGGCCTGTCACTCCCTGCCCTTGTCACCAGCCCCTCTCCAGCTTTCCTGGAGCCCCTTTAGGTACCTCCTTTTACCACAAACTTGATCCCACCTCCCCTGCATGACTGAGGAACACAGTACTTTGATGGAAGAGTTTACAGGCAACCTGGGGTGAGGGTGTCCTTTACACACCCACAGAAAGGTCTTTTTTTTTTTTTTTAAAGAAAAACATAAATTGCTCCTTTCCTGTCCTCCCCATACACTAAATACATTTTTCTCAGCCAACATAATTATTAGAAAACCACCTTAACAGCACCTCCCAAAAGTCTGCATTGCAACTGTCAGAAGACAGCACAGACTTACTGTCCTCCAGCTGTACTTTCCTCTGTGGCACGATAGCGTTGGATTTTAATTGGCGGTATTCTCTTGTGAGGGCAGAGATGAGGCTGGCGTGGTTGGTGGAGCGAACTGCCCACTGCTGTTCGCTCTCCGGAAGATTGGGCCAGGGCAGCAACAATACGTTCGACAGCGCTCTGCACACCAGCACCTGGGCCTGGAAACAACGAGACAAAGTTTTACCCCGTTTGCTATTCACTTTATACCAGAGCACAACCCTGGAGGGACATTTTACGGCTGTGCAAGACATCCAGCAGCGCTCCCTGTTTGAGGAAAGAGTTCAATAGCAGAAGTTGAGCCCAGGTGAAAACTAACAGCTCTGAAAGGGAAGAGAGAAGCAAAGCTTCATCACTTAAGGGTTGGAACCAGCTCCCAGCTATGTCAGCCCGTCCCTGCAACAGTAAGTCTCTGTTCTTTGTAAAACAAAGATGATACCGCTTTCATTACACACTAAGCTTTATGCTTGTACAGCATTTTATGCCTCCATGCCAGCACACAATACAACCATATCCCAACCTCCGCTGCAGCTTTTCAGTACTTCTGTAATATCAATACTAAGTTGGAGTGAGGGATGTGGAACACTAATGTTAAGTTTCACAGAAAACTCCTGTAGGCCAGAATCAACATGCCAGCACTATAAAGACAACACAGAGTCAGGCACTGTGTCAGCAAATAAGAAAGGAGTAAGATCTAAGAATTGCAATTGTGGTTTGTTTTTTTTTTTTTTCCTCCCTTATATTGTTCCTTGAAATAGATTACTGACAAACTATCACTGGGATTCCTGGATATCCACAGTACAGAGGTAACTGCTGCCCCACACTCCTTTTTTCTGTCTGAAGTTATACCTCATACAGCAAGAGCCAAAGCACAGCTTCCCGAGCACCTCATCTACATTCTTCGTGTTTCAGACAAATCACCTTATCAGGAAGCCGCTGAGCGGAGGTGTCCGTGATCCTGTTGAACACCTTCTGCACTGCTGGGATGCTGATCAGGAACACTGGTCGCACCGTGGTGGCCAAAGAGACTAGCAGGTGGCACGCAGACAGCAGCAGCTTCTCCTGCACCTGGAACAGAGGAGGCATGGGTCAGGCTGCCCAGCAACACCACCGCACAGAACCACACACTGCAACACCAGTGTCAGGCAGCACAGCAAGCTGCCGCTACCAGGTTTTTGCAAACAAGACAGCTTACAGTATTTATTTGCCAATCAGAGCACAGGTCAGTTCCCTTAATACTGTGGAAGAGAGAAACTTCCCCACTTTCAAGCCATTAGACTGAGTTTACACACCTTTAAGTTGCTTACTCTCATATCACCTTGCCCTACAGTGCTATTATTTAGAACTGCTCTTGGTCTCACCTTACACAAGACGTGCTGTGGCTCTGGAAGACAGAGATCCAGCTCCCACAGACTGGTTCACATCAGGAGCCACAGTGGGACCCAGAGCAGACTGTTAAACACCCCAACACAACAGCAGTCTCCTGCTGTTGGTGGAAGCCCAGCCTCAGCCCCCAGCCCAGCACGGACGAAGGTACCTTAGAGCTGATGAGGGGCGTGATTGCCTCCAGAGCGGTGGAGACGAGAGAGATGAACTGCTCTGGGTTCTGCCGGTGAACTTCGCTGTAGAACTGTGCGAGCCAGTGCGCGTAGGCTTGCAGAGCTGCCAGGGACTGAGCGTGGCTGCGGAGGAGCAGAGCAAGAGTAAGATATATACAGGACAATAGGTACACGAGCAGGATAGCTGCAGAAGGGCACAAGTCCCGAGCACGGTGGGTAGTTTCAACAGCACACTATGAAAGACATTACAGAAGATAGTTTTAAAGTTGTACTACACTAGCTTGGGAGGACTGTTGTGCCAGCGAGCATTAGTTAAAGACTAATGGCATCCTTAGTTCTTTTCAGAACTCTTTGACATCATATTTAAGCACCTGAAGAGGTCTGGGATCTCTGTTTAGACTTGAAGTTTTGGGCTGTTATTAAAGCTCTGCATAGCAGCATTCTGATTCTGCAGACTTCTCAGCTCTCTGCAGAAACAGGCAGAAAAATGGAAAGTAGTCCCAAATTCACACAGTTGGAAAGACTGCAGAATGGCAAGTGCCACAACAATCACTTCTAGTATTCCCTAGTCTTACAGCACAAGATCCATTTCACATGCTCACCTGATTACAGGCAAGGAGGGACAGCAGGCAATTACCTTATAGAAATCTTTTGGCACCTAGTCACACACAATTACAAGGATGCTACGTAACCAATCCCTATCTGCAGATTTTATTGAAAAAAGTAGTCTGTGAACACTCATATTTCCTCCAAAAATAAAGTTTCTCCCACATGCACGTCCCCACCATAGCGACTGCGTTTAAATTCTGTCGTCTACAGCAGGCAATTCCCAGTCTGCATCAATCACCTCCTGAACACCTCTGTTTCTGTCAGCAAGTCCCGTGCCTTTATGCACAGTGGGGAAAAATAAGGAAGTCCGTAAAAAAATAAATCTTACCTTTAACAGCAGGTTGAAGGGTTGGGTTTTTTAATCAACACTTTGCCTTAGCATCTTGTGTTCACCCTTCGTGTATTTATTGCCTAACCTCTATCCCACTCTTCCACTAACTGAGAACAGGTAAACTCCTTGTTATTATGTTAGCTGCATGGCCTAAAACCTTTTTCTTTGTCCTGGACCCTGTACGTTCAAGGCATATTTAAAGGCGGGCTGTAACTGGACTCATCTATTAAGCAACAGTATTAATTCAAAGGTATAAACTGATAAGGTCAATCTTTTAGTCAGCCTACCAGTTGATTACAATGTAATTACAATTTTGGCACAGCTCTCTATCAAGGATATTTTTGGGTCAGGATATTTCTTTGGGATCGCCCAGGCGGACACCCCCCGAAATGTTTGGCAGTGTACCTTTGCTAGGCTAGCATTAGAAAATGGATCACAAGTTTCTTCAGGGACATGGGACACAGAAAAGGATGAAAACGCCTCACTAACATATCATGGAAGAGTCCTGCATTAAGAACACTTCCAGTCTCTAAAAGGTTGTCACAGAGCGGTGTTCTATTACTACCAGCATGAAGATTTCACATTTAATGTCAACTTCTGGATCGAAGGCACTCATTTGTTTCAGAAATGGCTTGCCTAGCTGGAAGGCATACCTTTGTCTTGGAAGCCAAGGACTCAAAACCCTGTACTAGGAAAAACATCTTTTCCCTGAGCCATAGATCTGACTTCGGTAGCAAAAAATCCATAACCTAGAACTACACGCTGATAGCGCATCCATTCCTTAAAATACCACTACTGTAATGCTTATTTTACCATTTAATTACACCGCAAAAGAACTAAGCTTTTTCAGCCATTAGGACAGGGCAGAGTAACAGTTTGCTTTTACAGCTAATACAACTAGCATTTTTGCTTGTCATCACAATTTTATTTTTCTTTAATACCCTCAGTACATGGAGGTACATCAATTTGAGGAAACAGTGGTCCAAAATGCTGGCAGCAGCCTTAACCTTCAACAGTTAAAAGAAAGTGCTCTCCTGGTTAGCCAGCAATCACTGGAGAGATGTGCTTTTCAGAACATTTGCCAAGTGGTTAGAGCACCAGATCTAGGAGATCGGATGCTTCCACCTCCCCACGCAGGTACGAAATCCCGATACAGCCATTTGCAGGGTTATCTCATACTCACACATCGATAAGGTCAGGTTTCAATACAGACGGTACTGCAGTTTCGATGTTGTACAGTTTAATCTGGGATCCGTATAATGTTACTTTTACCAACCTGGAAATGAATACGTATATGGTAATGTAAAGGGACCGTATGATGGATATACACACGTACAAATCCACTTAACATCTTATCTGAATACAGCTCTTGGCGAGTCTGTGTCAATATTTTGCTAATATGTAGACAAGATTTAGAGCATTTAGTTGAAAATAATTTAGAGCTTATTTTATTGGTTCTGATAAGATGGAACAAGTACGATGTTTCTGCATGGAAATGAAAAAACATAACCAAGGCAGCTGTGCAAAGCCCTGAAATTGCAACTATGTGCTAATTAAGTTTCTTGGAGGTGAAGAATCAAATGACATCTGCCCTTCAGTTTTCACAGAGCTTTTCATTTAAGAAAAGAGATTTTGGTGATTTATCTTTGAGAGCTACAACTCTGAAGTAATCAGACTCTACATCCCACTTCATTGCATCACAAACACAGATGCTGGAAAACAAGTACCTCAATCTTTTCAAGTGACTGATTTTATTTAATCCCTCCTATTAGTTATTTGTTTAGTTAAGGATTTAGAAAGCCATCTGTGAAACTTAGCACTGATGAATGTAACAATTAAGATTCTCTGTATCTCAATTCAATCCTAACGAGGAGAGGCAGAGAGAAACCTCGGTTTTCACGCTCACTGCAGTGGTGACAAGTGCTCCTCGAGCTGGTGAAGGGACAGCAAGTCCCCCTCCCACACCTACCTCTCCACCACTGTAAGAGCATCATTGAACCTGGCAGCAAACACGTCCCCAATGAAGTATTCTGCTAAACGACCAACGGCCTGCAGCAAGGAGCTCAGGTCCCTCAAGGAGCAGTGCAAGCGCCGGCAGTCATTCTCTGCAGTGATGTTCAGCCTGTGACCTGAAATGACATTATGGTTCATTAGTAACGAAGCCAAAAGACCTAAGTGTAAATAACTACTTGTGCTAATAACCACTAAGAGCCTAGCAGTCTGAAAACACATACTTTAAAAACCTCGTGCAAGGAAAAAAACATAGACTTGTGACTAATAAATACAGCTCTTCCGGATGGGAAAATTAATTACATAGCTACAGGAAATGCAAAGTTTATTCTAATTACATTACAAGCATTCTTCTTAAATTAGCTCGGCAGTGGGTCACAGTTCAAATCAGAGCACTGTCCAAGTGACCAAAATACTCAAACTGAGTTAAGACAAGTTCAACTGCTTCAACTGCCACGCTTCAAATTCCTCTTAAAAGGCTGAAACAAGTGTTAACCACCTATTTCAGCCTTTTACACATTGATTTTCTTCTTAATAGGAATACCTGTATAAACAGGAGCCTTTTTGGTTACCCACTGACATCAAAAAGCAATCCCAGATCGCAGAGAGGGTCATTACTCACACTCCCTCTGCTGGCTACAGTGCAAGAAACATTCCAGCAGCGTATTTGAAAGAAGAACGTATTGGCTGCTGATGTGAAGCCTGATTATTTACTTTCATATTTCTCAGACACAAAAAACCCCCCGATAACTAGATTTGCCAGTCTTATTACCTATGCAGTTGTCCTACCACTCAGCTGCGTATACCTGGTCTCCAAACATTCCAGACCTTTTACTAAAAAAGCAAATATGTTCTGCAACATCACATTTCAAAGAAAATCTGTTTTTCTTTTCACTGCCTGTGTTTAATCTTGGATTAAGTTTTCAGCAACAAGCATGGCACTTTACACCAGTTCTGAACCCCAGCTGCATCTGATCCATCAGCTAAACAGCCAGCCCACACAACAGCTTCTAATACAGATTGTTGCTCCAGCACTAAAAACCTACACAGTGCTTATCCTAGGTCTGAAATGATCCCAATAGTGGAAATATTTTTCTCCTGAACTGTCTATATGACAATTGCCGTTCTGCCATATATAACAGTGTTGAAGATGTAACAGATCCCTTGAGTGGTCATACCAGAAAACTTTATATTTTAAGTTACCCTAGCTACAATCTTCTCTCATAACAGACCTCACTGCTACTACTTTCCTCATTTCTCAGGAAGGAGCAACAAAGCTATGCTCATGCTTTTTATTCAGGTGAGAGCACTGGTATCTTTGTAAACTATTTTATGTGTGAAAGCTCCTGAAATGCCAGCTAGATAAGTCTTCAGAAACTACTACTACTACATCCTGAATGCTTCATCTTCTCATTGACTCACAATGCTTTTGATTCAAGCCTAAATAAAAATGCTCCTACGGTTGACAACTTCACACCAAAGCAAACAGGAGCGCAACCTTTAAGTAAGTTTTAGCGGGAGGAAAAAAGTTAACCATTATCCCTCCATGTTACTGTAGTATTTGATGCTGCACACTTGTTCTTAACACATATGGTATCTTCATTTCAAGTACCAGAACAAGGAAAGCACCATATCATTAAATAAATTACATTATTAGATTTTTGTCTGCTCTTGGAGTTTGGCTACTGAGCTATTAGGCACCATACATGTGTTCAGATCCTCAACAGAACATGAGAAAAGTAACACCAAAGCAGGCCTGAAGTGGTTTTGCAATCAGCTGTTCAAAGAGCGAGGAGCGCAGTGCTGGACCTTGGTTATTACCTGTCCCTGAAGTGACCACGAACTGCTGGAGTCCCAGATACACTTCCAAATTATCCTGCAGAACCGGAAACTAGAAGAGACAAGAAATGAGTGTGATTTGGGGGCTTGGCAGACAGTTAACACCCAACTACTCCCAATTACTCTGTTAAGAGCACAGTTTTCTTATTTCTCTCTGATGCCTTCAAAAAGACATTTGGAGAAAAGGCAAGTCGCTAGGTTCTGGGCTGATCCTGCAGCGCCACAGCTTCTCACACTTGGATAGCTGTCATGAAAACAGAGATCACCAGCCTGAAGGCATTTCTCTGTGGAAAGCTCTCCTCTCCCCACAAACACCAGCAATGAGCCTAACAAGATAGCAGTCTGACAAATCTAAGCGACGGCACAGCATGCCACCAGTGTGAATACAAAGATGGATATACAACCCAGATCGAACAGAGCAGGGGAAAGGGAGAGCCTGGAGCAAAGGAAGCTCACCCTTAAGTATCAGCTTCTCAAAATGCAGCTATCAAAATATTATTCAACCAAAGAAGTTGCATTCAGTGCCTCTGTAACAGTACAGAAGCTGCCGGCTGCATCGGGAACAGCTGAAGCCCCACAGGGAAAACGGCCAAGGGAGCAAACACCGCAGTTGTCGTGCATCCTGGTCTGGGAACAGAGCGTTAGCCCAACTCCATCGATCAGGATCGACAGCAAACGTGCCCATCTTGGTGATGTTTCAGCTAAGGGATTACACTACCACAGGGGAGTATGTTACAAAGTGTGACCAGAACGCCTTCGAAACAGCATTTGGCCAGCCAAGGTACTTCGGTGGTATCTATTAGGGGGTTACTTGCCTTGTGCCTTAATGCATTTCTATACCTACAGGACAAAATTGCACGCTGACTTTTTCCTTGCAAATATCCCACATGAAAGAATATTTTCCAACCCTTTCAGTCTGGCATAGTTCTATTTAATTTCTATGGGCAAAGCCACCACATTTGAAGTGGCTAGTTTTATGAAAGTTCCCTCATCCATCAGCACAGGGAACTGCAGCCTCTCATTTTTCCAGCATGGGACAGAGTCGTGGCAGCTGCTGTACATCGTTCTCATTATTTTCTACCGATAGACAAGCCGCTGCGTTCAACAGCGCTGCAGGCTGCTGTGAAAAGCATGTGAAACTGCTTGAGCATCTCCCCGATTATCCAGTGTACAAAACCAAACTAACACAGGGCTCAAGGAAAGCACCCGCTATTAAGTTTCTAACAGGCTGTTCCTAATTAACAGTTGAGCACCTTTGTATAACTGCAGGAGGAGACCTATTCAAAAAACAACAGATAGCCTTCCTCACATTAATGTGTTGCTTTGAGGAAGCCACATGCTCTTCACCATATGACCCATATGCTACTCCATCCGTCTGCCTCTTGTGACTCGTGCTGTGCCACCACACTGCAGAGGAACTTCTGCCTTTGTAGGACGACTGTTTTGCTCACTACCTCAAAGTTTCTAGTAACATGCTTCTAGCGTTTAGCTCAGCCATAATGTTTCTTAAATAAAAATATCAAAAGGAAGACCCGGGGAACTACAGGCCAGTCAGTCTCACCTCTGTGCCTGGCAAGATCACGGAGCAGATCATAAGGACGTGACTGGTGACAGCCAATGTGGCTTCACTAAGGGCAAATTGTCCCTGACAAATTTGGTGGCCTTCTATGACAGAGTTACAGCGATGGTGTATAGGGAAGAGTGACTGGCATCATCTACTTGGACTCGTGAAAAGCATTTGACACTGTCCTGCACAACAACCTTGTCTCTTCATTGGAGAGACACGGATTTGATGGATGGACC